GGCAGGGATCCCAGACCAATACAATTAGTGTGCCTCCTCTATTTTAAAACCCACGAGCCGCCACTGCTGGTCATAACCCATCTCTCCAGTTGGGAAAATCCATGTCCAGTCCAGTCCGAGCCTTATAAAATGTCTCTAGCTGGGTGAAGACCTGATGTGTCTGAACTGAGCGAACCTGAGAGGTAAGAGATTGACTGAATCAACCTCTTTGTTTTCTTTTTTTAATGCAAATATGTTAAGTTACAGATGGTTTATCTATAGCTTTTACTAATATTACCATGTGCTCACTGTTATATCTTTATATGTTCAGCTCTGTAATCATGAAGCTTCTTCTTGCTGTGCTGGTGTTGGTTTTGGTGGTCGAGACCCAGGCACAATGGCACCAATACCCAGGACAAGCCATCGATGGTCATTTATTTTTCCTTTTTTATCTGCATTTACTCTTGTCATGCACTCAGTTGAGTCAGTTTGCAGGCAGATTTTAACCACTTCACTGTGTTTTGTAGGTGCAAAGGACATGTTTCTTGCTTACCAGGATATGAGGGAGGCCAACTGGAAAAACTCAGACAAGTATTTCCATGCACGCGGGAACTATGATGCTGCAAGCAGGGGCCCTGGAGGCAGATGGGCAGCCGAAGTGATCAGCTATTTCATCTGTGGCAGATTTGACATGATTTTATTCCTCAGAAGTTCATTTGAGCACTTACAATAAGCAAACATATTTGCTTCCTCGCACTGTATACATGCAACAGCAGCTCAATGTGCTATTATAGATGTTTAAATTATTTTTGAGAATTTTGAATTGTAATATTGTTATTGTATGTTAATGTTTACATTTTAAGTGCATTAAATCACTAGTAAATCTAGTAAAGTATTCAGATGCTGAAGCTGACCAGGAAGCCAATCGCTGGGGACGTAACAGCGGTGACCCCAACCGCTACAGACCGAAAGGCCTTCCCGAGAAGTACTGAAAAGAAGATCATCAGTGCGATAGAAAATGACTGAAATCATTTTACTGTAATACTGCTTGATTCAGTTTTGTATAAAACCATTTCATTCTTTCTTTTTACATCTTGACACTATCCTTAATTGCATCTTCATTTATGACATCAAAAATGCAATCTTTACGTTTTAGCATCATTCAGTCTATGTAACATGCTCTAGTGTCTTAATAAAGCAAGCAAATTAATTTATAGTTGTGTATGTTTTTTTTAATACGTCACTCATTGTTTATGTTGGAGCGGCACCAGCACATTGTCTTTATCTACCAACATCTTCGTCAGAAATTTTGTTACCAACAATTATGGTATTACAAAAGACCTTCAACCAACAACTCAAAATTCATGAACACATGTGATTCGAGTGGCATCGGCAAAGCAGTGAAAATTGAACCCATCTCCGTTTACTCTGTTTTACTGTAGTTGTAGGTAGGTTGGTAACGTGAAATCGTGAGATCAAAGTCTATTCAATATGTTTTAGTATCTGAGTAAACAACTTCAACCATTTGTGTGTCTCTTTTCATTCACCTCACTCATTGTTTATGACGAGCGCCACAGTCTGCATGGTTGCTCAAGCACACTGATCCACTAAGTGTCAATTAAAAAAAGAAGGAAAAAAAGAAAAAAAAAGAAAAAAGCAAGGTAGAAAAAAAAGAAATAAAGATTGTTTTTTTTAAATATATAAATATTTTTGACTGACTATTTATTTGTATAGAGACAGTACAAAAAAAATCATGATTTCAGCACATAAACTGCAAATAAATCAGTGTTTTTGCTTTTGTGTCGAGGTTTTGATGTTGTTTGCTCTCCCAAATGTTCAAATTTCTTGTTCTTGCGTTGTGAGGCAAAGAAAATATATTTGATATATTATTATTAATTTGATATATATTTCATATTAAATCACTTTGTGAGCTGACTACTGTGCTGAAGGCACACAAATATGACTTTTTAAATAAAGTAACATAGTTTTAATGGTGCTAGCTTGGCCAATCGTCAACCTAACCACATATACAATGGTAACCCCACAACCTTACACATACCAGAAACCCTTTTTAAATTTCAAAATAATACAACATACATTATGCCATGGTCTGTCTGAATACTCGATTCTGATTGGCTGGCAGGTGTTGATTAAATTCGTTTAACTGCACAGGTAGTTCCAGGTCAGTTTAATCACGTTCTATATTAATGCGCTTCCTATGAACATTGGTAACCATAGTAACATACAGTTTACAAATGAGGACAACAGAAGCAATCAATTGTAGTATAAAAACAACTAAAAACAGATCCAAAACTAAAAGCTAAAACTTATTAAATACTACCTATACACATTTTAAAAATAAAGAGATTAAATAAAAATGACAAATGCATACAACAAAATTTAAAAACTTAACATTTAAATTAAAAACAAAAAATAAAGCTAAAAACAATTCAAAATATATTGTCTGATTTTGCTCTATTTCGTCGTTGAAAATAGTTTAAAAGAAAGTCACAGCTCTTATGAATGAACGGTTTTTTTTTTAAATGAATCTAGTGAGTCAGTGATTCATGATTACTCATTCATAAAGACAGTCACTTGCTTCATTCCTGAATGAATCAGCCGTTCGAACGAATCAATTGAATGAAT